GGACATACCTGGGTGGCCGCGATCTAATCCTGTTTACATAAAGTAAACCTGCTCCCGAGCAGGTTTACGCTTACGGATCTGTTGCTATGACAGCAAGTCCCGGATGAGCTTCGGAGAACCGAACGATCCAAGATCACGCGAAATCGTCAACAATCAAATCCAGCTAACTTACTTAGCCAGGTACGAAGAACGGACCCCAGATCTCGCTGAGTCTTGTTGGTGTAAAGCTTTGGTTTAGTGTGCCATTAAACAAACCATGCAGTGATAAATACAGCTGAGATCACAGAGGCTCTCTGCACAGCAGCTTACACATGCAAGCCGCTGCTATTGTCTACAAACTCTTTTGAACTTTGTGTTGGAGAGCCACTTAAAGAGCCTCAAAGGACACACACACACACACTTATATATACACACATTCATACATATATGTGTATACACACACACACACACACACACACACACACCACCATGATGTAGGAGGTAGTGACAAGCGATGCTGAATAAAAGATGGGTGTGTGGGAAGAAGCAGCACTGGAGGAGAACTTAAGGTAGGTTAATGATGATGCACAGTGTCTGAACGTTAGTGATGGAGAAAGTAAGCATGGAAATCACAGCTTAATGACACAGTATGATCGTGACAAAATGCCCAAATGCTCTAAATCTCTGTAGATTTAGATTTAATTTGTGGCGAGGGTCATACACCATTTCTTTTATAAATTATTACATAATGCAATTTATAAATATCTCCCCTGGAAACATTTTATTTGCCATCTACTTTGTGATGGATAGCCATGCAATATATTCAGCTGCCTCATACTGCAGATAAACTCAAAGCAGCACTATCAAGTACTCCAGTGAGCATGCCCTGGAAGGGAAAACATACAGGAAGGCGTAGAGCTTGCTGGTCAGCAGTGGTTGAACATTCAAACTAAGAGTGCAACACAAACTGGAAACAGAGACCATTCACCTTTAAAACAAAAGGTGTGACTATTACATGGTGTTGGTTTTAGATGTAAGGCACAAGGTTTACCCAATGAAACCCATCACTATTATTTCCTTTGGTGAACAACAGATGATAGGGGGTCACGAACCTGTCTTTAGGCCTGTGCAGCCGACAGTTGTTTGCTATTCTGCAGGTGCCTATGTAGATCGCAGATTTATTAACCTGTGATGCATCATTTGTACTCATTGGTAATAGCATGCCTGCTAGGCATGCAACAATTACTTGTACTTTGTACTTGCACTTTTTATATTTCTGCTGTATAGAACTTTGGTCAGGCATGTGTTGTTTAATAAGTGCTATATAAATAAATTATGGCCTCAAATTTAAAAAAAAAGTTTAGTTGGAATCCACCCACTTTGTGTTGCCAGCACTTATTTAAGTTGTCTCTGTTTTAATAATGTGTCAGTTCAAGCCTTTCCTCTCTAATTAGCTGTTGTGATTCAGGGTATATGACATTTTCTGTTGTTTCTGTTTTTGTTTGTATTTTGCAGCTGTTTCCTTTGCCCTCATTCACTTGCTAAGCCTCATTACCAGGAGTCACGAAGGAGGAAATCTCATAGGTCCAGTTAGTGTATGAACATTTGGCACCATTTTTTTAAGGATGGATCACAGTGGAAGCAATATAATATCACACACTTTGATCATCTAAAACACCTCAGTTACTGAAGTTATGCGTGCTGCAGTAAGAGGTGTTGTTTTGGGTTTTTTTAAAAAGAAGGGAAAAAAAAATCAGA